TTCTGCACATGGGGTTTTTTCAAGTCTCGCAGTCATGAAGTTCCGCAGACCTGGTCAGGGGTGAAAGAGCACTCCGTGTCTCTTCGGGCACAGCAGGGCTCTCTGTGAGTCGAGCCATCCCCTGTGAGCTGCAGGAATTGTCTGCCAGGGGCTGTGTGCCTGCGACAGCACTCCTCGGCAGAGTTCTCCTGGTCTGTGGTCCCTACCACGGGTCAGAGCTAGTGTGGGAGGAGAGAGGCTGGTGCTCCCAATCCCTGCTTCCCTTCTGTCTTCAGAATGGGACACCTCAGACCTATGTCAGCATGGGTTAAGGGACCCTCAGCTGACTTGTGGAGGGATCCCAGGCTACAGGGGGAAACTTGTCGAGAAGTAATCTCTGGGGAGGCGTATCCCACCACCACCTCCCACAAACCACCTGCCATGGGGGCTGTGTGGCTGTGGTCAGCGTAGCTGTAAAATGCTGGTGTTTCCTGGCAGAAAAGTGAACATCACTGTGACCCTGGGAGCCCACAACATAAATAAGAATGAGCCGAGCCAGCAGGTGTTCCACGTTGGACACTGGGTCATCCACCCCAAGTATTCAGGATATACCAGTGAAAATGACATCACGCTGCTGAAGGTATGCCCACACACATCCTTGCTGCCCAAGGGATCGACCCCTGCTCACTTCCCCAACCTCATGAACTTGTTCCCATTCCTTTGCCTGCTCTGACCCTACATTCTCTCTGCTTGGCAGCTGAAGCCAAGGGCCAAGCTGACTAAGTCAGTCAGTTATATCCCCTTCGCCAGTCACAAGGAGCGTGTGGAACCAGGAACTATGTGCCAAGTGGCTGGCTGGGGCAGGACATCGATGCCTGGGGATGTGACTAGTGTGCTGATGGAGGTGGACCTGAAGGTGCAGCGTGAAAATATTTGTGAGGAGTCCTTCAAAAACTATCTGCAGCAGTCTATGATCTGCATTGGCGATGAGAATGGCAAAAAGTCAACTTTCCATGTAAGTGTTGCTTTGGGCTGTAAGCTTGGGATGAGGTTGGGCCTAGACAGTCAGGCTGGTTCTCAGGTAGGGGATTAAAATGAAGTAGATTCTTCAGGATGATGTGCTGAGGCTCCTCTCAGGAACTCTGAAGCTAATGTGCTCTCTGAAGCCAGGTGTAGTTTCCCAACTGTCAGCATCATGTGCCTTTTTTACATGGCTGGGGATATTCCATCCAGGCTAGCCAGTGCTCCAGCCGGCTGCAGCGCAGATCTCGTGTAAATGCTTTGTCATATCCTCCTGACACAGTGGGGTGGCTTGGGTATTCCCACATGTCTAAAGTAGGACTAGAGTCTTCTTTTCAGGGATATGAAGGCAGTTTGTGAATCTGAGATGGCCTCCAGGCCTGAACTGCTTCACGGATCAGCTTAGAGGAGTAGTGAGGCACCTACAAGTCCTGAGGAGCTGGGTCTGGTGGGAGATGGTCAAAAGAGGAGGTTCTTCACAGGGGAGGGAGACAAGAGGGCCAGTTTCTTCCTGAGGGCAGGGGGAGCCATGCTGTGACACGTCTGATGCCTCCCACTCCTTTTACCTCACAGGGGGATTCTGGCGGCCCATTAGTCTGCAACAGGAAGGCTCACGGCATTGTTTCTTATGGACGCAAATATTGCATCTTCCCTAAAGTATTTACCAGAGTCTCC